ATTTTGCTATATTATTTGGGTGCAATTAATTATCAAACAATACTGTATTGCTTAGTCTTACAAGTTGCTTTATTGCTCACCTCATCAGCGAACATACCATTGATGTGCATCAACTACAGTACCTGGATCTTGTTTTGGAATAAATTACTCAATTGTTGATAAAGGTAACACATACTGTGGAGTTAAAACCAGCACACCTGGATATATTGAAATGCGAAACCACACCTGTACTTCAAATACAGCGTTCGTTAACATTATATGGGAACCTGTAGTGTCGTTTTATTTGATCTGCCTTTTATGACTCATATCATGAAAGAGTGTATCTCAAGATAGCTACTCTTCATCAAATGGTTTGAAAGTGAAATGCACTCATACATTTAGAGGTTGCTTGTAAACTGCGGTTGCAGAGTATCAATTGTTTATTGTGTTAAACATTCAGCCTTTCTCTGACTGGTCGCATTGTGCAAAAGTCCTCCCTTTTCAGTGTGCTTGTCTGACAGAAGGCAGCCATTCTGTCACTTCTGAGATCCAAATGTTCTCCCTGACATTGGATATGAAAACAACATAAATAATGTCCGTACAGTAGGGCTGTAATGGTCCTGGAATTTTGGATGACTGCAGTCACTGTATTAACCATAGAAAAATTCAAGATGCACATTTTCTTCTCTCCTCCACTCCTGACTGCATGTGCTGCTGCTGCAGGGGGAGGGGGACGTTGTCTAGGCAACTGAAGACTTACAACACGTTGCTTGTTTTAGCAAGGCGCAACAACGTTTTACCACATTGTAGAGCCCATGTTACTGAAGAGTCCATGTTACAGCAGCACAGAAACGGACTCAACCTTACGAATGCCCGGCTGTCCCGTCTTCAGACAGCTGTTCTTGCCACACACATTTTGTTTATACCATTTTACAGCCTTAATCCAAAAACGTTGGTTACACGGTTGTACAGTAATTGTGCCAGCCCTACGAGTACAGTGCTTTTGTGTTCGAGAGTTTCCACTCAGGACCACTACTCCCCATTCCTTGTCTCCCCATCCCATTAGATGGTGCTTTAACATGACAAAAGTGTGTGTGTGGTAGTGCTTGACAAAGAGGACCCGGAGTCCCAAGGGGAGGTCATTGGGGGATGGGAGGGGTGACTTGACCCCAACAAAGCCTTCTATGGAGGGCAACCCTGCCCTCCAGCTCCAAACCCCCAACTTCGCGGGGACTTCACAGCAGCATCTACAACAGCACAAAGAGATACACCATTCGGTTGTCATGCAACCGGTCAACGATTTGAAATGGTTAACAGAGAAAGCTTACAGTATCTCATAATCTATTCCACTATGAGATGCCCCACTGACCTACCTGATAGGGTCCTTAACACTGTTCTAAATCACGTTAAGGACAAGCTGTCTCAAGCTATAAACAAATGGGTAGTGTCAAAGGCCACGCCAGGAGAGTGTGACATACAATTCAAGCAGATGTTTTTACTGCTTTGTTTAGATGGCGGCTGCCATCGATTTCAACTCATTGTCCCTCCCATATTGACATGGGAACCCCTCTAACAACTGCTGAGTGAATACATTCCTTCAGATGCAACTCATCATAAATTTGTACTGCTCAATGTGGGGACAACTGACTGGAACAGATGGGTAAAGCTGATGGAGCGGATTGGCTGTGCCTCCTTAACAATGACCCTTATGGTCATTCTCCATTGGCTGCCTCTGCAGAACTGGTGCAGCAACTGCAGAACTGTCTATGCCACCTGTCACAAAAAGTGGCCTGAGAACAAAACTGTCAGAAAGGACGAGGAACTTTACTCATCTCATTGAACAGCTGATTACTTTAATTAGCTAAAGAACATGATTACGCTTGGTGTTTGGGACATAGTACTAGTTCCAATGTGCCAGGCAAACTAAAAGTATTGCAATACTGGTATGTATTTGACCCAGGTATAGTACTGTACAATGACAGTTGTTAAAAGTTCTTACTTGTAATACTATGTCCCAACTCTTCCTTATATGAAATTCTCAAGCATTCAAATTATACAATGTTCTTCAATCTTTTGAGTGGGCATGAGCTGAACTTGGTGAGTGGTGTCATAATGTCTGAAGATACAGTAGGTCCATACATGTCTTTGCCAGTATGAAATAATTACAGCATGAAACTTAGGAAAACAAATCAAAACAGATGCCTGAACTGTGTCCATTTGAGATATAGTATCCGCTCTGCATACATTTATGGTAAGCCTTGTATGCCAGAGACTGACAGGCTGAACTTGCATCTCATGATTTGGCTGGCAGCTGCATGACTGCATGGTGGAGAGAGCGTGCATTATCAGAACAGGATGTTTCCTGCCCAATGGCTTCCCTCATGGTCATGTAATCTGAACTGCACAGACCAGTAGCGCCCAACAGTAGTAGGCCTATTGCGACATGTCCCACTTTAAGAAAACTACAATTTATAAAGGCTTTACATAGCATAGTCTTCATAAGCACTCCCCAATGGACATGCTATTTACAATAAGGTTTTCACTCACAGCAACTACTCAGTCAATGGAAATTCAATCTGACTTTCAAGTCATTATGTTGTAGGTATACTGTAAAATATGTATGCCACAGGCTCACTGTAACATACACTACAGTTCAAAAGTTTGGGGTCACTTAGACATTTCCTTGTTTTCGAAAGAAAAGCATTTTTTTTGCCCATTAAAATAACATCAAATTGATCAGAAATACAGTCTAGACATTGTTAATGTTGTAAATGGCTATTGTAGCTGGAAACAGCTGATTTTTAATGGAATATCTACATAGGCGTACAGAGGCCCATTATCAGCAACCATCAGTCCTGTGTTTGCTAATCCAAGTTTATCATTTTAAAAGGCTAATTGATCATTAGAAAACCCTTTTGCAATTATGTTAGCACAGCTGAAAACTGTTGGGCTGCAATTCCCTATCCACATCGACGGGACCGCAGTGGAGGTGGAAAGCTTCAAGTTCCTTGGCGTACACATCACCGACAAACTGAAATGGTCCACCCACGCAGACAGTGTGGTGAAGAAGGTGCAACAGAGCCTCTTCAACCTCAGGAGGCTGAAGAAATGTGGCTTATGTTTACATATGCACTTCTCATATGTATACACTGCATTCTATTCTATAATAATCTTCTGTATCTTAGTCCATGCCGCTCTGTCATTGCTTGTCCATATATGTATATTCTTAATTCCCATTCCTTACTTTTTTGTATGTATTGGGTATATATATTGTGTAATTGTTAGATATTACTGCACTGTCGGAGCTAGAAGCATAAGCATTTTGCTACACCCGCTATAACATCTGCTAAACACGTGTATGTGACAAATACATTTTGATTTGAGATGCAATAAAACTGGCCTTCTTGAGACTAGTTGAGCATCTGGAGCATCAGCAATTGTGGGTTCGATTACAGGCTCAAAATGGCCAGAAACAAAACTTTTTTCTGAAACTCGTCAGTCTATTCTTGTTCTGAGAAACGAAGGCTATTCCATGTGAGAAATTGCAAAGAAACTGAAGATCTCGTACAACGCTGTGTACTACTCCCTTCACAGAACAGCGCAAACTGGCTCTAACCAGAATAGAAGGAGTGGGAGGCCCCGGTGTACCACTGAGCAAGAGGACAAATACATTAGTGTGTCTAGTTTGAGAAACAGACGCCTCACAGGTCCTTAATTAAATAGTACCTGCAAAACACCAGTCTCAACGTCAACAGTGAAGAGGTGACTCCGAACAGACCTTCTAGGCAGTTGCAAAGAAAAAGCAATATCTCAGACTGGCCAATAAAAATAAAAGATTAAGATGGGCTGTCGAGGGAGTGTAACCTCAAGGGGAAAAGTCTGCCAAATGTAATGAAACGTGTGCTAAGAAACAGGAAACAGTTAGGGGTGAGGGCATAAGTCATTACAGTCGTGCTCCTCTGCTCAGACATTGCCAACGCATGCCAGAACTTTCAATGCCTGGATAGGTATTTTATGTATCAGCTTACCACGTTATAGCAACCTGATACCCGACGGCAGTCTGATGTGGCACATTGGTTGATGTATGAGATGTCTGAGCTGGGGAACGCAACCATTATCTTATATTACTCACACGTTTCTTTTATACATGACCCTAAGCATGATGGGATGTTAAATGCTTAATTAACTCATGAACCACACCTATGTGGAAGAACCTGCGTTCAATACTTTGTATCCCTCATTTACTGAAGTTTTTCCATTATTTTGGCAGTTACCTGTACATCACACCTGTGCTTGAATACACCGCCCCCATGTGGAACTCCTCTATCACTACAACCATTTGCTCAGAGGGCAGGACCATCTCTTCAATGGTGTGATCTGTTACTCAAATGCAATTCAGAAAACAGTGTGCCATTACCTTTGTTAAGGAAATTGGTTGCAATACCCAACCTATAATTATTAAGGTCGCAAGTGCACTAAATCTTAGGCACAAAATGTATCAACACAGGTCTATAACTGAAAGGGCTCCGAAAAAAAGAAAATAAACTGTATACAAATGGGAAGAGACTGGTTGAATTCTGTGTACCAACAAACAACAGTGTGGGTGTATATTTCTTTTTTTAATTGGCCAGTAGAGTACAAGGAGGAAAACAATGCAAATCAATGTACAGTTCTGCATACTCATATCAAAGAGAATCCACGGTAAAATCCACACCTGCTGTGAGGAAAGGAATGCAGGGGCGGTATGAGCCCACAGAGTCCTGTCACTACAAATACAAAAGTCCTGTTCAGAGAAAAACAGGCTGAGACATTGGAGCAAAAAATTGGCCCTTACAGGTGGCAAGAGACTGGCTGTCAGTAGTTACCACAGCAACAAAGTCAAAATTGGCTATATCGTAAAAATTAATGAAAACAAAAATGTGCCATTTGTCTTAATTTAAGGTTAGGCATTAGGTTAGCAGTGTGGTTAAGGTTAGGTTTAAAATCAGATTTTAAGAAAAGAAATAGGCAAGGTCTATAACTTTGTGGCTGTGGTAACTAGTGACGACCCAAGAGATAGGTCTATCACACACAAATAGGGAGCGAGACACAATGCCCAGTACAGGCTAACAGATAGGTCTCTGGACAGCGAGCGAGAGGGGAGAGAGTCCAGGTCAGGAAGCCATTTTGTAATGTCCCCCAAGGTCCGCAGGTTAGCGGGAGAATTGCCTCTTGTCCCCCTTGCCTTTGTTGACGTGCTTGAAGATCTTGGCTTTGTGAGCGGGCTTGCCCTTCTGGTAGCCGAAGCCGCCGCCTCCGCCCCTCTTCGTCATCTTCAGTCCTCCTTTGCTGTGGACGTCTGGAGAGGAGTGCTGGGTTAAGGGAAACACTGTACTGAACTGACCAATTAGGTAATGATAAATAAATATATAAGCATACTATAATTACTATGTATCATTATTGTAATCATAAATAAATAGATGGGATAAGCCAGGATAAGTTTGCAGAAGTCATGACAACAAATGGATAAACCAAGGCGATGCAACACTTTGAAAAACGACATTGGTGAACGTATGCCTTGGTTGTTGGCCGTAGAAAAAGGATACTGAGGTCGACGTAGGGGGGCACTTTGAAGCCGAAGGAGAGCGCCACCATGGGGAGGTTGAGCGTGTTTACGCTGTAGATCGCTTTGAGCGAATGAGAGTCGTACGCCCGAACGTAGGACTTGTAGGCCTCCTGGGCTGACTTGTGCAGGTAGTAGTTCTTCTCAATCAATTTCTCCAGCTTCAAAGAACAAAATGTGAAGACCTTTGTGTGAATTTGGCATTGGGAAATTAAGGCTTGTCAGATAATTGCGTAAATGTCACAGAAGTTCACTCCTGTTCATAGGAGGATGTTGTTTATCATTTGACCATATCAATTAATTAGCGACTGTAGTCCACTATGTCACATATGTTATGTCATTTCTCTCTCACAGATGTTATGTCATTTAGCTCTGGTTCACATGCAGAAATAAATGTGGATGCATGTCTTACCTGACCCTGGATATCGGAGATCTTCGCCCAAGAGAATTCAAACTCACTCAAAGGAACCTGAGGCAACATGGAAACAAAATGTCCTTTTAAAACATAATTCACCACTACTGAAAGATGGTTAATCAGTTGCATGTTTTCCTTGTTTTTCTGTTAAGAGCTGGGTTAAGTTAAGGTTAGAGATGGTTGGGATAGAGATGGTTGGGTTAATGTTAAAAATGGTTGGGTTGAGGTTAAAAATGGTTGTGTTAGGGTCTTACCTTGGCCTGTTTGAGGAAGCGCAGGAAGCCCAGCTCCTCTGGCCTTAGGATCAGGAGGGCGTGGCCTACGCCGTTGATCCCGCGAGCTGTTCTGCCGACCCTGTGGATGTATTCCTAGGATAAGAAAGAGGGAAGAAATAAGGAAGAGGGAAACAAATGTTAATGCTTCACTGAGGCATTGGCTGGAGATGCCTATAGATTAGAGGTTATTTCTAAATAGTGTCAAAGATACATGAAAGTGTGTCTCAAACTTCACTAGGTACCTTGGGGTCATCTGGGGGGTCATACTGTACAATCCAGTCCACCTCAGGGATGTCCAGGCCTCTGGCCGCCACGTCTGTACACAGCAGGATGCCAGAGTCAGCGTTACAGAACTGGAAGAAGGTGGTGGTACGCTTCGTCTGCTTCTGCTTCCCCTGAGATCAGCGAAAAAGAGATGATTAGACGTCAGCCACAGACAGCATTGCCCACATAGGATAAGATGCCATTGCTGAACCGCACAGCATATTACAGTACGTGTGTGTGTTCAATCCTATAGCGCAATATTGGTTCATATCATAAGATGTGTTATAATGGTACAGGGCCTTAAGACACAAGTGTGGATGTACCAGTTGTCTCATCTGCAGACCCATGAGAGAGAGAATGCCTTGTGGGGTCAGACTGGGGTTCATTGTAGCAAAGCTCAAATTGAGCCAGATAATCGTCCGAAGACTACTGACACAGAGTGTAGCCTGCAATCTGTTGCTTGTCTTGGGACCTACGTTGTTGTTACTAGAGACACGGAGACTAATCATATTTTAGTGCAGGCGTAATTAGTGATGTATATGTGTTGAGTGTCTTTTCGACTCAAAGGGCTCCAAATAACTTCCTGAGACAAGCGAATAAAGTGACAGGTCATTTTCAGCAGACAGTCAGAAACAGGGAGGTACTATCTGAACCGGTCCTAGAGAAACCCATTTCCCTTCTGCTAGACTGAGAGGTGACAACTCACGTGGATGGCCATGACAGGCAGGTCGATGTAGTTGAGCAGCTCGTAGTGGAACTTGACCGACATGCAGGAGGAGAAGAACACCATCAGCTTCTTCTTACGGTTCTTCTTCAGGAAGGTGAAGAGCAGCATGAAGCGTTTCTCAGACGGACACACCACGTAGCCCTGGCAACCAAGACAATGTTTACATATCAGACCTGATCTGATGCACCAGAGAACCACATACCTGTCAAGTACATATTCTAATTGATGTGTGAGACTTCACTATAACTTTGCCATGGTGGAGACACATCAGGGTCTCAAACCACCCCATTTCTATCTAGCAGACACTACAGGAAAGGACAGAGCCACTACAGGCCAAATCTTGCTGAACGGCCTGCATAACCATGCCTGAATTTGAGTTTCGGCACTCCAAAATCAGCTGTCAGAACCACTAACAATAAAACGTTTGCTTTGTTACTTTCAGTTAATTCATGTCTTGGGCCAACCTACGGCAATTCACTTAGCTTATCGTCACACTCTGCAGCAGTGAGTTGTTTTGTTTACCTGCTCCAGGCCATCCACGGTGGCGTTGTCCTTGTTGTCGTCCACGCCCACGTAGAGGGGCTCCTTCTTCAGGGAGATACGGGCCAGGTCCTCCACCTTACGGGTCTGGGTGGCCGAGAACAGCATGGTCTGCCTCCGCTCTGAGGAACAATGCATGATGTTAGACACTGGGAGTTAGACATACACACAAGACAAATAGCAACATCAAATCACATGGTAAAGTATATGCAAGGTTGGTTATGGCCATGATGTGGGTACGTACTTGGCAGGAGTTTGATGATCTGCTTCAGCTCCTCCTCGAAGCCGACCTCCAGGATACGGTCGGCTTCGTCAATGATCAGACACTGGAGGTTCTTATACATGAAGCCAGCAGTATTCTACAGAGAGCAAGGAGGTGGGCATGAAACAAATGAAGAGCCAGGACTAAATGTGTGCAAAAATCCTTCTGTAAATAAGTAACCTACACTGTAACGTTATACAATACAATCCTTTGTCAAAATTGCAGGGCTTAGAGGTTACCTGGTCCCCACTTTGACAGAAATATAAGAAAAGCACTTTAGTAAAATGTACTGTTCTCATCATCATGGTTACCTGCAGGTGGTCCAGCAGTCTGCCGGGTGTGGCCACCAGTATGTTGACGCCGTTGGCCAGCCTTTGGGCCTCGGCCGTGCGGTTGCTGCCGCCCATGATCAGGCCGAAGGTGTGTACGTGGTGGGTCATCAGCTCCTTCATCACGCCGTACGTCTGCATGGCCAACTCACGCGTTGGGGACAGGATCACCACGCCTGTGCCTGGGGATAGAGGGGAAGCAGGGTTGATTCTTAGACCAGTTCCATTTCAGTTCCTAGACCTTTCTTCTGGTCTAGACCCTATGCCTTTGATGTTAGCAGAGCTTAAAAAAAGACGAGCTTTGGGGCAGCATATTTATAACATTGGTTCAACCTAATCTTTTCCTAATCTTACCGTTCCTGGGCATGAACTTGAGTTTGTAGATGAGCTCGATGGAGGGGATGAGGAAGGCCAGGGTTTTACCACTGCCAGTCTTAGCAGCAGCCAGGACATCTCTAGGAATATTCAAAAGTGCAAAGGAAGTCAACCAAAAACAACATTACTCAGTTCATTATCAGTCCTGTAGGGCTGATTCTAGGATGCAATTTGCCAACTTTTGGTGGTCCTGGATAGGGCTGTTGCGGTGACCGTATTATCGCCACACCAGCAGTCACGAGTCATGAAAGCAGTCAAATTCTGTTGATCACGGTAATCCCATCCAAAACTGCGTAAATGAATGGCATTGATGGGGTAGCCTACCAAACTTGCTAACAGCCTTTGCTAATGGCATGGTACTCAGTGCTCCATTGTCCCTCTAATCGCTCTCTAACTATATGATTGAATTGGAATAATATGAACAATGAGGACAAATGGTGATGGGACCCAATATGCATATATTTAAAATCCCTACCGAAAGGACAACCAAACATGTCCCCTTATGGACCCGGTCCGATCCGAGTGAGGGAAGCAGCAGAAAAGCCAATTGTTTTGCTACTTTATTAAACTGGAGCCATGGAGAAAGGGAGCGAGGGACAGAGCGAGCACCTGTATGCTACTAGGGAGCAGAGGCTCGGAGCAGGCAAGGAGGGAGAGACAGCAACCACTTAACTTTTTGCTAGTTATTTATCATTCCATCAGAATAAATAGTACCGGTCTTCATTTTATTTATTTTAGAAAGTCATTTAGCAGACGCTCTTATCCAGAGCGACTTACAGTTAGTGGTACACTATTATTTTTTATTTTATTTTTCATACTGGCCCCCTGTGGGAATTGAACCCACAACCCCTGGCGTTGCAAACGCCATGCTCTACCAACTGAGCTACATTCCTGCCGGCCATTCCCTCCCCTACCCTGGGCCAATTGACTGCATCAAACCGAGAGAAGCTAGCCAACTAGGCTAATTGAGGCTAACTGCGTTTTATTAGTGGTAAGTACGGAATACGCATGGTATACATCGTCCAACGAAACGCTTACTTGCAGGTTCCTTCGACAATGTAACAACAATAAGAAATGATAAGAATACGAACAGTAAATGGCAGAAGAATAGAACACTTTTTTTTAGCATAAGTATAATACAGGAAGGCACAATTTATTGCCCAATATTAACACGTGTATTGGGGAAGGGTGGGATGGGGGCAGTGTATAAATTGAGCAGTATAATAAGAGTCTGGTAGCAGTAGTTGTGATGTGTGTAGCATGAATGTATGTGTGTGTCTATGTATGTCTGAATGGGTGTGTGCATGAGTGAGTGTATGTTAACCTAGACATAACTCCATTCAGATTATAGCCTAAATAGCAGCCTACCAGGTTGGCTTTTGATCGTTGTAGCTTTTCTCATTTCATTTTTAATTCTGTCATTTTAATTCCATCTTCCATTGATTCGATATCCCCTAACTGGCTTGCCACACCAGCAGAGCAGCAATGGAATTGCCTCTCTCTCCGTGGGAAGCACAAGGATCAGAGCGCATTACTTTTTCCAAATCATCAATATAGTCACATCATGCTTTTAATTTCTAAGACATTCACAGGTTTATAGGCCTATCACAATTAAATAAATAATGGATTTTATTGTGAAGGTGTAGGCTATATGAACTGGATTTATTAGACTTGTAGATGTTCCAAATGCGCGCATCAATCAGCAGCTTGTATGCGGGGAAGCCCGGAGATGCTAAACATGTTTATGTTAATTAACGATCAATTACTGTGAGACCGTGCATGACAATTACAGGCGGACAACATTTAATGGACTGCCACACCCCTAGTCGGATATTACAGAGCTCTGTTTTAGTCAGCCTTGTAGAGGTACAGGGATGCATTTACAGGTTGAAATTCTGGCTAATAAAAACCTTGGGAGATAAACTGTAGGCTTACCTTCCCTCCAGTAGGGGGCGGATGCTTTTGTGTTGGATCTCAGTCATGTGGTCAAAGCCCATCTCCTTCACACCCTTTAGAGTGCTCTCACTCACCAGAGAGGCTAGAGAGGCAAACGACGTGTCCTCAAATGCACCTGGGATACAGAAACCAGTCAGAGTTCAAACCTGCATGGGCTTGGCATAGAAGGTCTCTACTCCAGCACTGACACGGCAAGAAGACTGACTAAGGATTACCTAAATAGGCAACTTTACTTATTTATAGTAAAAATAAAGAAAATTTTCTGGTAAATAAATATATACACTACCAGTCAAAAGTTTGGACACACCTACTCATTCAAGGGTTTTTCTTTATTTGTACTTTTTTTATTATTACATTGTACAATAATAGTGAAGACATCAAAACTATGAAATAACACATATGGAATCATGTAGTAACCAAAAAAGTGTTAAACAAATCAAAATGTGAGATATTTGAGATTCTTCAAATAGCCACCCTTTGCCTTGATGACAGCTTTGCACACTCTTGGCATTCTCTCAACCAGATTCATGAGGTAGTCACCTGGAATGCATTTCAATTAACAGGAGTGCCTTGTTAAGTTAATTTGTGGAATTTCTTTCCTTCTTAATGCGTTTGAGCCAATCAGTTGTGTTGTGACATGGTAGGGGTGGTATTCAGAAGATAGCCCTATTTGGTAAAAGAACAAGTCCATATTATGGCAAGAACAGCTCTATTAAGCAAAGAGAAACGACAGTCCATCATTACTTTAAGAAATGAAGGTCAGTCAATACGGAACATTTCAATAACTTTTAAAGTTACTTCAAGTGCAGTCACAAAAACCATCAAGCGCTATGATGAAACTGGCTCTCATGAGGACCGCCACAGGAATGGAAGACCCAGAGTTACCTCTGCTTCACAGGATAAGTTCATTAGAGTTACCAGCCTCAGAAATTGCAGCCCAAATAAATGCTTCAGCGTTCAAGTCACAGACACATCTCAACATCAACTGTTTAGAGGAGACTGTGTGAATCAGGCCTCCATTTTATTTTATTTACCTTTATTTAACTAGGCATGTCAGTTAAGAACAAATTCTTATTTACAATGACGGCCTCCATGGTCGAATTGCTGCAAAGAAACCACTACTAAAGCACACCAATAATAAGAAGAGACCTGCTTGGGCCAAGATACACGAGCAATGGACATTAGACCGGTGGAAATTTTGGTTTGGGATGAGTCGGACGGCAGAGTGAAGGAAAAGCAGCCAATAAGTGCTAAGCATATGTGGGAACTCCCAAGACTTTTGGAAAAGCATTCCAGGTGAAGCTGGTTGAGAGAATGCCAAGAGTGTGCAAAGCTGTCATCAAGGCAAAGGGTGGCTATTTGAAAAATCTCAAATATTTGTTGAACACTTTTTTGGTTACTACATGATTCCATATGTGTTATTTCATAGTTTTGATGTCTTTACTATTATTCTACAATGTAGAAAATAGTAAAAACAAAGAAAAACCCTTGAATGAGTAGGTGTCCAAACTTTTGACTGGTACTGTATATTTAAAAAAATATATTTTCCTTTATCATTTTCCCCTAACCCTACCACCTCTCCCCTAATTGGAGGAAACTAATAGACAACACGTAGGCTTCTACTTCCAGCTTATACATACTACATCCAGTGCATTCGGAAAGTATTCAGACACCTTGACTTTTTCCAAATTTTATTACGTTACAGTCTTATTCTATAATGTATACAATAGTTTCCCCCCCCTCAATCTACACACAATACCCCATAATGACAAAGTGAAAACAGGTTTCTAGAAATGTGTGCAAATGTATTAAGAATAAAAAACTGAAATATTACATTTACTTAAGTATTCAGACCCTTTGCATCAGCAATTAAATTCATTTTAGAATAAGGCTGTAACGTAACAAAATGTGGAAAAAGTCAAGGAGTATGAATACTTTCCGAATGCACTGTACATTTTACGTACACAGTATATTTTACAATAGTTATTTTGTTTGTTTTTAGTCCCATCCTTCAGCTACCCTCAACCCCTCCCATCCATCTCTGAACACCATCCAGTTTTGATTTATATTTGCCATATATTTTTCAACTGTGCTGTGATGTTTCACAAAAGTTCTGAACCTTTTCTATTCTCATACTTTCTACAAATTGTAAATTAAAGATAAAATGTTTTGCTAAGAGTATTATTATATTATTGATCGATTGACTATGACTTTTTAAAATCACCCAGCAGCGCTATCCGGATTTGGTAGGACAAAAAACTGCAAACATTTCTCTCCACCCTATGGCAAAATGTTTAGAATTGCAGGAAATTAGCTGTAAAACAGCAAATGTACCGCTCAACCCCATGGCAAAATGAGTAGAACTGCATGGAATTCGTTATAAAATGGCAATATCTTCTCACTGCCCCCATGCCAAAATGTGCAGAATTGCAGCAAACTTTCTTTAAAACTGCTAAATTAACTCTAAAATAAAATAAAATGCTCTCCACTGTCAAGAGGCGGGCTGCAAAAATGGTTTGCTCACAATGGGGTGGTGGAGGGGATGCACATGTGGGTACGCAGACCTGCAAGCAACTGCAGCCTCTCATGATGAGTGAAGTTTTTTTGTGGCCATGGTTACCAGGCAGGACATGGATAAAATACAGAATATTATACATATTTGTAGGCTTGCAGAGGCTAAATTGTAAATAGTTCATTACCCATATCTAATACTGAGAAATTACTGCTACAGATAACATGCACAGTTGACAAGGCTAACATTTGTTAGTGTAAAGGCCTCTGATTGACCTATGAACATTGAATACCTGTCAAGCCAGTTGGGAGCTCTGGTCCATCTTCCTCCTCCTCCTCATCATCCCCAAACTTCTCTCCTTCACCCTTTTCCGCCTCATCTTCACTTCCCTCTTCATCATCCTCCTCCTCGTCATCATCTTCCTCCTCCTCCTCTCCAGCCTCTGCCCCTTCAAGAGGCTGTGTGGGTTTGTCTGTGGCCTGATCAGCATCCTCCTCAGTCACAGTCATTCCCTTCTCCTCCTCCATATCCTCCTCATCATCTGCCTTGTCCTTCTTGGCTTTTTTCATACCTACGTTAGAAGCATATGAATATACTTTGACAAGGAAAACATGAATTGACTTGGTAAACTGACACGTAGCCATTTACCCTGGCCTTCTTGAAAGGTGCATAATATCAGAATATCATTCTAGCTACAACAATTTAAATCAGTGACTGAATAGTAACGTTACACAACATTACCTGGCGATTCAGCAGTGTTGAGCTTCCTTTTCATCTTGACAGAATGTTCTTCTGTGTCCACCTCTGCAGACACATTCTTCTGTTTTTGCTGCTTCTTCATGGGTTTGGCATTCTGTAGCTTTGAAATTGCTGTGGCCCCATGACTCGTTTCATCACAACACTCCTCTGGAAGTTTGTTTGCATCATCTGTGAATACACAGAATACAAAATCACATCAACCAGGCAAAGGAGGCAATCATTCAACTAGTACTACAAGCTAGTCCTTGATCATGAATCTGTTGCATTACATAACACACAGTCATTGGATGAAGGCGCCTTCTGTAGGGGAGAGTTTTGTTAAGAAGTGCCACGCTCGGTCTGAACATTAACATGTGTGTAATTGGCAATAAATAATGTTCAAAAAACAAAAGGTTAAATTGATACACAACTTTATAGAGTTAGGGTTACCGCGCATGTTTACGGAAAAAATACGGACAACAGAGTGGACTACCTGTGCTAGTGCTATCTTCGTCTCCGAATCCCTGTGTGTAAACTGAAGACAGACGCCACAAATGTGTTGTCATTGAAAAATCCGTTTGGCTGCAACTGTTAAAACCGGTTAACACAGTGTACAGTAAGTGTGTATTTTGCATTTGTTAAATTATTTAGATGTTATATTAAAGTAGATTTTTGACAGGCGCCTCTCCCATCTCCTCATTGGTTTTAGTAGCATATACCCATGTGGGGAATTGAAAGCTGAACTGAAGAAGAAGACTGAAGGAGGAGAGATAACTAGAAACTAACTAGGATTACCCTTTTATCTGTGGATTCGTTGTCCGAGTTGAGGACCTTGTGCATTTCAGGTCAAATAAGCTAGCAACAGCAAGCTAGCTAAATGGCCATGAATGTTTCATGCGTTTCGACCTGTCCCCAAATTAATATAGGTGGTTCAGAGTTGGTTTTGATATTGTCTGGTGTGGATGGACAAAATCAACATGCGAGCGATGGGCCCCGTGTAGCTCAGTTGGTAGAGCATGGCGCTTGCAACGCCAGAGTTGTGGGTTCGATTCCCACGGGGGGCCAGTATAAAAAATAATAATTATGCACTCACTAACTGTAAGTCGCTCTGGATAAGAGCGTCTGCTAAATGACGTAAATGTAAATGTAAATAACAATTACCTAGGATGTATTTCTTGTTTCACTAGCTAATGGCTAACGTTAGCTAGCTACGTTAACTACCAAAATAAACAGTGGTAACTAGCTAGCTAGAAACAAACTAATGGAATGGTTTGTTCATTCCCTCGTTAATACGATCGGTGATTTAGCTACGTGTATCAACTAAAAGGCTGTTTTATGCGTGATTTCCGAGAGACATCAACCCCGTAAATACACCCATCAGAGACATAGTTAGCTAGCTAGCTACCTACTAGCCTTGCTTCGAGGTTGGCTAGCGCGATAGTGTCAATACAACTTGTCGACAATGATTTCAATACTACTTCAAAACAGTTACCATTATCTTCCTCTTGTTTCTGTTTCCTAAGGAGCTTTCGCTCTTTGTTCTTTTCGCTTCTTTTCTGGATTTTCTGCCGAAGAAGCCTCATCTGAAGATCTGCCATGATTGCAGCTGAGCACGCATACACACGTGTGGAATTCAGGACCCCTCTAGGCTAGACAGTTGCCTGCCTAACTGTAAATACATAGGACCCCATATGGTTGTCATTCATATTGCCAGAATGCAAATCGTCTCTACTGTCCAGGGGAGAACGACTGCCCGCTTTCATTGAAGCCATGAAGTTCAAATCACATTTTATTGGTCACATACACGTGTTTAGCAGATGTTTATTGCGAGTGTAGCGAAATGCTTGTGTTTCTAGCTCCGATAGTGCAGTATATCTAACAAGTAATATCTAATAATTTAACAACATATACCCAACACACACAAATCGAAGTAAACCAGCGGAATTAAAAAATAAATAAATATATGGAAGAGCAATGTCAGAGTTCAAGGCCGACCGGGGTACTGCAGCTTGTTGTATCCAGAAGCAGGATCCCCCACCCCTTTTTGCTATAATGCAGTGGAATTACTTCAGCTTCCTTCCACACCTGTGGACACACACACACACACACACACACACACACACACACACATTCTTAACCAAAGCCTAAAGGAGTGTGTGTGTGTGTGTGTGTGTGTGTGTGCCCACAGGCTGGAAGGAAGCTAAAGTAATTCCACTGCCTAAAAATAGTAAAGCACCCTTTGCTGGCTCTAACAGTTTGCTGCCTGTTCTTAATAAATGGATGGAGAGAATTGTTTGACAATGCTATTTTTCAGAGAACAAGTTAACTACTGACTTTCAGCATGTATATAGAGAAGGGCACTCAACTTGTATTGCGCTCACTCGGATGGCAGATGACTGGTTAAAAGAATGGATAATAAATAAGATGATAGTTGGAGCTGTATTGTTAGAGTTCACTGCAGCCTTTGATGTTATTGTTCATAATTTGTTATTGAAGTAACACAGTTGATATGGCTTTACATCACCTGCCATCACATGGTTGGAGAGTTATTTATCCATTACAACCCAAAGAGTGTTCTTCAATGGAAGTTTCTCTAACATTAGATATGTACAGTGTGTTACTCTTCTCTATTTTTACAAATGATTTGCCACTGGTCCTACACAAAGCTAGAATGGCTATGTATACGGATCATTCCACACTCTGCATGTCAACACCCAAAGCCAGTGAGCTCACTGAAATTCTAAATAAGGAGTTACAATCAGTATCAGAATGGGTGGTTAAAATCAAATCAAATGTTATTAGTCACATGCGCCAAATACTACCGGTGTAGACCTTACCGTGAAATGCTTACTTACAAGCCCTTAACCAACAATGCAGTTCAAGAAATAGAGTTAAGAAAATATTTACTAAATAAATTAAAGTAAAAAATAAAATAAAAAGTAACACAATAGAATAACAATAACGAGGCTATGTACAGGGGGTACTGGTACCGAGTCAATGTGCGGGGGCACAGGTTAGTCAAGGTAATTTGTACATGTAGGTAGGGGTAAAGTGACTATGCATAGATAATAAAGAGCGAGTAGCAGCAGTGTAAAAACAGGGGGGGGGGGGGTGAGGTCAATGTAAATAGTATGGGTGGCCATTTGATTAATTGTTCAGCAGTCTTATAATATGCCATTTAGCAGACGCTTTTATCCAAAGTGACTTACAGTCATGTGTGCATACATGTTTACGTATGGGTGGTCCCGGGGATCGAACCCACTACCCTGGCGTTACAAGCGCCATGCTCTACCAATTGAGCTGCAGAGGACCACATGGCTTATGGCTAGGGGGTAGACGCTGTTAAGGAGCCTTTTGGTCCCAAATCTTGGCGCTCTGGTACCACTTGTTTTGCGGTAGAAGAGAGAACAGGCTATGACTTGGGTGACTGGAGTCTTTGACAATTGATTTGATTAATATTAAACTGGTTTATTGTAAATAAGAATAGAACATGTTTCAAACACTTCTACATTATTGTGGTTTCTACCATGATTACCAGGGTTGTGGGTTCGATTCCCACGGGGGGCCAGTATAAACAAAAAAAAATTGTATTCACTAACTGTAAGTCGCTCTGGATAAGAGCGTCTGCTAAATGACCAAAAAAAAAAAAAAAAAAAAAAAATTACGGATAGTCCTGAAAGAATCGAGAATAATGATGCATGAGAAAGTTACAGATGCACAAATATCATACACCCAAGACATGCTAACAATAACAGTGGAGGTTAGCATTTTGGGAGTGTATGATATTTATGCCTCTGTAATTTTCTCACTCATCATTATTCACAATTCATTCAAGATTATCGGTAATCATGGTAGCATCCACATTAATGTAGAAGTGTCTAGAAACATACACTATATATACAAAAGTATGTGAAAACCCCTTTCATATTAGTGGATTTGGCCATTTCAGCCACACCCATTGCTGAAATGTGTATAAAATCGAGCACTCAGCCATACAACCTCCATAGACAAACATTGGCAGTAGAATGGCCTTACTGAAGAGCTCAGTGACTTTCAACGTGGCACCGTCATAGGATGCAACCTTTCCAACAAGTCAGTTCATCAAATTTCTGCTCTGCTAGAGCTGCCCAGGTCAACTGTAAGTGCACTGTGCTGTTATTGTGAAGTGGAAACATGTAGGAGCAACAACGGCCCAGCCGCGAAGTGGTAGGCCACACAAGCTCACAGAATGGGACCTCGGAGTGCTGAAGCGTCTGTCCTAGGTTGCAACACTCACTACTGAGTTCTGAACGGCCTCTGGAAGCAACGTCAGCACAATAACTGTTCTTTGGGAGCTTCATGAAATGGGTTTCCATGGCCGAGCAGCCACACATAAGCCTAAAATCACCATGCGCAATGCCAAGCGTCGGCTGGAGAGGTGTAAAGCTCGCCGCCATTGGACTATGGAGCAGTGGAAACACGTTCTCTGGCGTTTTAATCATGCTTCACCATCTGGCAGTCCGACGGACGAATCTGGATTTGGCGGATGCCAGGAGAACGCTACTTGCCCGAATGCATAGTGCCAACTGTAAAGTGTGGTGGAGGAGGAATAATGGTCTGGGGCTGTTTTTCATGGTTCAGGCTCCATAATTCCAGTGAGTGAAATCTTAACGCTACAGCATACAATGATATTCTAGATGATTCTGTTCTTCCAACTTTGTGGCAACAGTTTGGGGAAGGCCCTTTCCTGTTTCAGCATGACAATGCCCCCGTGCAGAAAGCGAGGTCCATACAGAAATGGTTTATCGAGATCAGTGTAGAAGAACTTGACTGGCCTGCACAGAGCCCTGACCTCAACCCCATCGAACGCCTTTGGGATAAATTGGAACACCGACTGCGGGCCAGGCCTAATCACCCAACATCAGTGCCTGACCTCACTAATGCTCTTGTGGCTGAATGGCAGCAAGTCCCCACAGCAATGTTCCTACATCTAGTGTTAAGCCTTCCCAGAAGAGTGGAGGCTGTTATAGCAGCAAAGGGGGGACCAACTCCATATTAATGCCCATGATTTTGGAATGAGATGTTCGACAAGCAGGTGTCCACATACTTTGGTCATGAAGTGACTCCAAAATGATACAATACATTATTTACCATTAATTTCTATTGGGCACAAAATAATCTGAAACACAACCAAAGCAAACAGCAAATGAATTCAACAAGTATGTAAAGTCACAAGCTTGATGTAATCACTACGTGCTATGAATATGGGACCAAATACTTAACTTTTGACTACTTTAATATACACATAAGTACATTTGTCCCAATACTTTTGGTCCCCTAAAATGTGGGGACTATATACAAACACTGCTGAAATGTCTAAATGGTTCACCTGATATGGATGAAAATACCCACAAATGAAAGTTGACAGCATGCACTTTAACCTCATAGTCATTGTTTCATAATGATTCACAAACAAGCTATTTTCTGGCAATTTATCCGCTCACTTTATCAGCATTGCTCTGCGTAGACGCGAGAAAAATAGACTTGCCATCTACTTTGAAGCGCATGACGTCGTTGACGGCATTGACGATTGCGGCCCATCTGTTTTCTCTCATTCACTACCGTGCATTCAATACTGAAAAAAAATATGAATGCAACATGCAACAATTTCAAATTTTTTACTGAGTTACAGTTCATATAAGGAAATCAGTCAATTCAAATAAATTAATTGGGCCCAAATCTGTGGATTTCACATGACTGGGAATACAGATATGCATCTGTTGGTCACAGATCCCTAAAAACAAATGTAGGGGCGTGGATCAGAAAACCAGTCAGTATCTGGTGTGACGACCATTTGCCTCATGCAGCGCGACACATCTCCTTCGCATAGAGTTGATCAGGCTGTTGATTGTGGCCTGTGGAATGTTGTCCCACTCCTCTTCAATGTGCGAAATTGCTGGATATTGGCGGGAGATGGAACACAATGTCGTCCACATCGATCCAGAGCATCCCAAACATGCTCAATGGGTGACATGTCTGGTGAGTATGCAGGGCATGGAAGAACTGGGACATTTTCAGCTTCCAGGAATTGTGTACAGATCCTTGAGACATGGGGCTGTACATTATCATGCTGAACCATGAGGTGATGGCGGAAGATGAATGGCACGACAATGGACCTCAGGATCTCGTCACGGTATCTCTGTGTTAAAATGGATAAAATGCAATTGTGTTCGTTGTCCGTAGCTTATGCCTGCCCATACCATAACCCCACCACCACCATGGGGCACTCTGTTCACAACGTTGACATCAGCAAACCGCTTACCCAAACGACGACATACACGTGGTCTGCGGTTGTGAGGCCAGTTGGACGTACTGCCAAATTCTCTAAAACGACGTTGGAGGCAGCTTATGGTAGAATAATTAACATTACATTCTCTGGCAACAGCTCTGGTGGACATTCCTGCAGCCAGTATACCAAATGCATGCTCACTCAAAACTTGAGACATCTGAGGCAGTGTGTTGTGTGACAAAACTGCACATTTTAGAGTGGCCTTTTATTGTCCCAAGCACAAGGAACACCTGTGTAATGATCATGCTGTTTAATCAGTTTCTAGATATGTCAAACCTGTCAGGTGAATGGATTATCTTGGTAAAGGAGAAA